AAAAAAAACCCTACAAGAAAACCTAGGCAATACCATTCAGGACACAGTCATGGGTAAATACTTCATGATGAAAATGCCAAAAGCAATGGCAACAGAAGCCAAATGAGATCTAATTAAACTAAAGAGCTTCTGCACAGCAAAAGAAACTATCATCAGAGTGAACAGACAACCTAGAGAATAGGAGAAAATTTTTGCAATCTATCCATCTGACAAAGAGTCTAATATCCAGAATCTACAGGGAACTCACACAAATTTACAAGAAAAAAACAATCCCATCAAAAAGTGGACGAAGGATATGAAAAGGCACTTCTCAAAAGAAGACATTACTGCAGCCAACGAATATATGAAAGAACGCTCAACGTCGCTATCTTTAGAGAAAATTTATACTTATTACCCTAACCAATTCACTACCATCTTCTTCTGATCCATAAAGTTAGAAGTGATCCAATGATCAAATTTCAATCAGCATATATACCTACATAGGATGGCCATGATGACATCTTTTAATTCCAATAAATCAATTTTATGAAGAGAAAACATCAATAGGTTTTATAAGGTCTGAAAGTCTCTACTAAAAATACTAAAAATTAGCTGGGCATGGTGGCGTGTGCCTATAATCCCAGCTACTCAGGAGGCTGAGGCAGGAGAATTGCCTGAACTCAGGAGGCGGAGGTTGCCGTGAGCCGAGATCGCGCCATTGCACTCCAGCCTGGGCAACAAGAGCGAAACTCCGTCTCAAAAAAAAAAAAAAAAAAAAAGACTTTATATAAAATGTCTCAATTTATTTCTGCAGCACTTATAAAATCCTTCCACCTCAGCCTCCCAAAGTGCTGGGATTACAGGCCTGAGTCACTGCGCCCAGCCCACATCCAGGATTTTTGAAAACTGATGGTGTTAAATAAAGACAAGATGCAAATTTGTTTCCATTTTTATTAAAGTTGTGTTTTTCTCAGGAATGTATTACACTTAATGTTCAATACCATAAATATTAGTTCTTAAATCTTCTACTTATTAAAAATGTAAACATAAAAGAAAACAATTAACCACTCCCTCCCCAACCCCAACCCAATATATATTAAAAAATATTCTGCCTTTCAAGTTAAGTTCTTTTCTTCAGAATCAGTAACACAGACTTTATTAAAATCTTGTTAGTCCTCCTGGGCTGCAAGGACATGGCAGGAATGACTAGTGCCCACTGTGACATGGTCCATGGTGCTGTGATGGAGGTCCATCTCCTCCTGCCACTACTACTCATGTGCCCTGAGAGACAGGCTCCTCTCCGTCCACTCAGTGTCCAAGGACATGGACAGTGGTAAGGCATCAAGCACAAGACACTGTGACAAACACAACACACAAGATGGCGTATACCCCTGGAAGCAGACCACAGCCAGCAGAGACAGCAATTCTGGATGATATTAGAGATGGAAGGATTCTGAAAGATTGCCTAGTTGTTTCCCAGATGGCCTCAACTAGTAAGTCTTCTAATGCTAGAGAAAACACTGATACAATTCTATGGAATACTTTGATATATTCATTTATCTTCCTAAAACTATTTAAACCTCATAACATTATGTTTTAACTTCAACTATCGATAAACGTTAAGCCTAGATAGGCTGAAAACTAATTGCAAGCATAATTTATAACATTTTAGAATGACTATTTGGTCTCAACAAAAATAAGTATCCTATAGGTAAAATGTAAGCATTATTGATTTTAAGAAATAAGGGTGAGGATGTTTTTCAGGAGAATATTAGAAGGATCTGCATTAGGACAACCTGTTTGCCAGTTGCTTTAACGCTGTCAGCTGAAGGCTACTGACATAGCTTTTGCTTCCTTCCTGTAAATTTTGTTCCTGAAAACCTGAGACAAATTCACTTGATATTTTTGACAACTGGGGTCTTAAAATGATCAAAATGAGCCTAAGTCTGAACTGAAAACTGAGGTAGTCAGTTTTTATAAGTACTTGACCCTTTTTGAGTCAGGAAGTGACTCCAGTCTACTGACCTCAGATGGCTGCTCCCCATTCTTTCCCTGCCTCCCCTCACTTCCACTATGCCTGCAACCTGCTCAGCCCATTGCTCTTACACAGGGATGTGACTTTGTCTTTGCTAACATGAAGGGTATAACCTGACACAGGACACCAATGCGTAGGCCATTTCAAATTCTTTACTTTGCACCTGAATTTTAGACCAATAATTCTGTAACATCTCAGATTCTAAAAGTCTGCTTCACTGTCTTTTTTTTTTTTTTTTTTTTTTTTTTTTTCGTAAGAAAGAATCTTGCTCTGTAATCCTGGCTGTAGTGCAGTGGTGTGATCAGCTTACTGTAACCTTAAACTTCTGGCCTTCAGTGATCTGCCTGCCTTGACCTCCCAAAGTGCTGAGATTATGGGGGTGAGTCACCATGCCCCGCCATTGTCATATTCTAAGTGACAAAAATGTACCTCTTAAAATCTCTTACAACTTCAGTATCCTTCTAAGTCTTGCTGGGTACACTAGGCAGAATCAATGACAAGTAATCATATTCAAGCCTCACTGAAAAGGATGGGAGACATGAACACAGCTACCCTCAGGAACTCCAAACTTCTTGACACCACACTTTATCAAGTTTCACATTTGTCCAGAGAAGACACTGGGCTACCAGGTTCCAAGCTTAATAAATACATATACAAAAATGTCATCTATATTTTCTCCAGAAAGCCATTAGTGCAAATATAATTATATCAATAAAAAATAAAGCAAAAATATATTTCAAGTATAAAAAGCACCGTGCTCTGAAACAATACTACCTAAGTGGTATCACTGCACAACAGTCAAAATATAGTCAGCCTATCACTGTGAATCTCAAATATATTATCAATTCATTGTATTTTTGGTAAAATTCTGTATCCAACTTTGCAGGATGATTCATAATTATAATAAGCATATGTTTAGACTATTATATGTTTCTTTAAAAATATACTCTTTGCTTTTGACTTTGCACAATAGAAAGTATGTACAACATACGCAGAAAATGAGCACTGGCCTGCAGACCATTACTACAGGTTGAGTATCACTTATTGAAATGCTTGGGACCAGAAGTGTTTCAGATTTCAGACTTTTTTTTGGGTTTGTGATATTTACAAATACCTAATGAGGTACCTTGGACATGGGACTCAAATCTAAACATGAAATTCATGTTTTGTATATATCTAGACACACTGCCTGAAGGTAATTTTGTACAATAGTTTTAATAGTTTGTGCATAAGACAAAGTTTGTGTTAAGTACTTATATGTGGAATTTTCCACTTGTGGTATCATGTCAGCATTAAGAAATTTTCAGACTATGGAAGAATTTGGATTTCATATTTTTGGATTAGGAATGCTCAACCTGTATTAGCTTTTCTTTAGCTAAATTAACTATGTTTGAGACTCGCGGCCTTTCACAATGACAAATTATTCTGATTTAAAACTTCATGCAAATACATACTTTAAATTTATGCATTTGGAAAAAAAAGTGATTTTCCTCTATGCTGGGGTTGCTGTTGGCTCTAGTGCCAGATAATCAGAATTAATCCTTAGTAATTATGCGGCTTTGCTCATTTAACACAAGTCTTCAATGGAGTACTCAATAGCTATAGGCTGAATGGAAGAAAAGGAGGGAAGGAGGGAGGAGAGGAGGAACAGACAGGGTCTGTCCCAGGGTTGTTTTTACAATGACATAGGACTTCGTTAGCTTGAGAGAGAAAGAATGAGCATCACCTACCGTTAATGAATTTTTTTCTTTTATCTTTTTACATTCATATCAAACCTCACCTGGACATTAATGAATTTCAAATACAATTACTAAATGGTGTTGGTAAGCTCTAGTACCAGAGTAAAATTGCTTCTGGGGACTGGAATCTATGTAGTAATAGGAGGGGTGTCAAATGCAGGAGGTAGAGGGTACTTATTTTGGGAGTTGGGGGGACAAAGTCTCACTCTAGCCACCCAGGCTGGAGTGCAGTGGTGCGATCTCTGGTTACTGCAACCTTCGCCTACCGGGTTCAAGCGATTCTCCTGCCTCAGTCTTCTGAGTAGCTGGGATTATAGGAACCAACCACCACGACCAGGTAATTTTTGTATTTTTAGTAATTACGGGGTTTCATCATGTTGGCCAGGCTGGTCTTGAACTCCTGACCTCAGGAGATCCACCCGCCTCAGCCTCCCAAAGTGCTGGGATTACAGGTGTGAGCCAATGCACCCAGCTGGTAAAGGATATTTAAAGCAAAAGCAATCTTCCAGCTTCTGTGGACTGAGTCTTGTGTTAAGTGGTACAGTGGACACTATTGGTTAGGCCAAACCTGTAGGTTGCTATTAGCACACAATTCAGATCATCTTGTTTTAACTTACATTTTCCTTCTTATACATAAAATCATTTTCAGATGTTAGAAATTCTTCTGCAACAATTTCTTAACTGACTTAAAAAAAATTGCATACCTGTGTATACCAGAATTTCTTTTTATCTTCATCAGTCACAAAGGAATAGTTCTGTCTGATCGGTTGTCATAAACATTTTCTAAAAAAATACAATTATGTTTTCTTCTGTTTGCATGTCTTCAGTGTTTTTACAGGGAAGAGTATTTTACTCTCTCTGCCTCTATATTTTTTCATGTCATTATTAAACTAATGGAGAATACATCTGGAAGCTAAGCCCTGAAGAGGGATGCATACAAGGCTACCAGCACACTGACAACAGTTCTGCCGTAAACTTCCACACAGCTGGCAAAAAGGGCAAGCACAGTTAAATCATAAGATGTAACCAAACATAATTTTAAAAAATTCTTTAGAACCAAACAATGGGAACAGTGACTTAAGTTTACTATATACAGCCATTAATTTTTTTTTTTTTAAATACAGGGTCTAACCCTATTGCTCAGGCTAGAATACAGTAGTGTGATCATAGCTCACTGCAGCCTTGAACTCCTGGGATCAAGTGATCCTCCTGCCTCAGCCTCCTAAGTAGTTGGAACTATAGGCACGCACCACCATGCCCAGCTGCCATTTAATTTAAAATAGGTATAGTATGATATGTAGAAATCTCAATTCAATTATTTCCTATAAATCAAAGGACAATTTACACTTTTGAGGACAAGATCTCCAATTCTAATCTTGCAATAATTGGCTGTTGTTTAAATTACTGCAGTATGGATGATGAACTTTCCCATTGTTTTATGTTGATAAAAATGTTGAGGTATGTCATCACTCTGAAAATTCCACCCTTTATCCTATTTTCAAAAGAAAACATTAGAAGACTACAAATCCTGAAACATAAAAAGACTTGGTGCCTTGCATTTCCTTCTTCTTCAAGAAGAGGTGGTTGGGTTGCGGGTGAGGCAAGACTGCTGTGAAGTTTTGTTTCAAGGTCTGATCATAGTCAACTCTTCCAAGCCAAAGTCAGGAATGCCACTTCTGCCATCTGCACAGGTTGGTACTTGCTCAAATTTTGTGCTTTGTTCACAGGAACTTAACATAAAAGAGTACCTTGAAAATCCACTTTCCATTCCTAGTGCCACACACACAGAAGAAATCCAGCCAGCAGAGGAAAGATATTGCCTAGCAAAAGCCAGAGGGTGACAACCAGGCTTGAGGAACAGGAGCAAAGATCTAGAGTCAAAAACAAAAAACTGACTTATTATAGACATTTTTGGTATATTATACCAATCATATATTGACAGATAAATAGCAGTGATTATTAAAAGGTAAATAGGGACCACTTTGAGAGCTAAATCAAGAGCAAAACCCAGATATAAAAAAAGGTTTTGTTTCTTTTTTAATGGAGGAAAAATATATTTGGAGGAAGAAATGATGTATCCACCAAGTCAAGGTTAAAAAACAGTATTAAAAAAATTGTCTTGGGGTAGTACGCTAGCAAAGCTAAAGATAATACTTGGGAATGTAAATTAATTATCTTGGTTATTCTGAGATGGGCTGAGGAACATTCTTCTTTTATTCTTTCTACCTTCTACGTAGGGTGACCATATAAGATTTATCAACCCAAATGAGCACATTTTGAGAATACAGCCAAGCGTACTATTGATAATGACAGCAGGCATTGGGACTGCCTCAGCCGGACTAGGACGTATGGTCCCTTATTTCTACTCATCCATTCACATCACCAGTCAATCAGGCTTGATTTTGAAACAGCAGAAGATTCTATAGATTTTGGGCACTAGGGGTATATTTTAATTCAGCTGTGAGGTGTCCTCATAGGTAAATTATTTCCCAGAACAGTTCTCATTGTGGGAATATTTTAATAGCAGTAGAGAGACAAGGCCAATTTTAGGATGAGTTGCCCTTTTAAATATTTTAAACAATAAAGATGAGTATTTATTTATCTATTTATTTGAGACAGAGTCTCCTTCTATTGCCCAAGCTGGAGTACAGTGGTGTGATCTTGGCTCTGCCTCCTGGGTTCAAGTGATTCTCCTGCCTCAGCTTCCTGAGTAGCTGGGATTATAGGCGTGTGCCACCATGTGTGGCTAACTTCTGTATTTTTAGTAGAGATGGGTTTTCACCATGTTGGCCAGGTTGGTCTTGAACTCCTGGTCTCAAGTGACCCACCTGCCTTGACCTAAGGTTTTATATGAAATAATTCATTGTGTCATTATGATTGTAACTGCAGAAAACACAGCTGACTCACTTGGAGTACTGCGTAGAAAAGAGTTAATACAGCAGGCCTCAGACTGCTATCTTTAGAAAGTTCTGCTTTCAAGGAGGGTCTTTGCTAGTGTCTGGGAACTGGTTTCCACAGGACTTTGCCCCATGCACCTCTTCCCTTTGCTGATTTTGCTTTGCATCATTTCACTTTAACAAATCTTAGCCATGAGTACTATGATGAGCAGCTGAGTCCTCTGAGTCCTTTCGGTGAACCTGTTGTACTGGAGTGAGCATAGAAAGTTAACACCAAGACAAAAGTGAGCCAAATCGCGGGGTCTTGATTGCCGGCGGCCACGGAGGACTCGTATCTCTCCAACCCGTGGCCCCGAAAGGAAGGTGCTAGGACCTCTTATGCCTGTAAAGCACCTCGGGGGTGGGTGTGAGGGGCGGGGGTGGGGGTGGGGGTGAGGGGCTCCAGACATTCCGAGGGCCAGTGGATTCCATAAGTCACCTCTTGGGCGGAGATGAGGGTGAGGGGCTCCAGACATTCTGAGGGCCAGGGGACTTTGGATATTCCGATTGTTACTTAAGTGGTTTACAGAAGTTAAGATAAGACAGATGCCCACAGTGGCATTTGACTCCTTCTTGTTCCCCTGCCGTGGGTCCCCTCTTTTTCCCTGGTTGACCTCCCTTGCAATCCTCTTATTCCCATCCTCTCTCTTTTTTTTTTTTTTTTTTTTTTTTTTTGTGACAAGAGTTTCGCTTTTGTTGCCCAAGCTGGAGTACAGTGCACATTCTTGGTTCACTGCAAACTCTGCCTCCTGGGTTCAAGTGATTCTCCTGCCTCAACCTCCCAAGTAGCTGGCACTACAGGCACACGGCAGTATGCCCAGCTAATTTTTGTATTTTTAGTAGAGACGGGGTTTCACCATGTTGGCCAGGCTGGTCTCAAACTCCTGACCTCAGGTGATCCACCCGCCTTGGCCTCCCAAAGTGCTGGGATTACAGGTGTTAGCCACTGTGCTGGGCCCCCATCATCTTCTATCATTTTTTAAATGTCTTCTCCCACCATAAAATTAATTTCTTTTCTATTTTTTTTTTTTGGTCAGGTAGAAATGGGAAAGTCCCACACTCTGCTGTTCTCCTATTACCTTAACATCCCAAGCTTCCTTTCCTTTTTTTGGTCTTTATGAATATATTTATATGGACAGAATTAAGATGAACAAAATTGATTTCCCCATTCTCTCACTTCCCCATCTTGTCTTCTCAGACCCCACAGAGTTAAAACTTGGGATTCCCCCGACCCCCTCACCCCAAACACTTGTATATTGTTTGTTTGAGGTTCGTGCCGCAGTAACTGACACAGTATTTAATTGCACATACAGATGTTTGCTGGGTATATTCACTGTAAATTTTATTTAATCTGGTTTTTGTTTGTTTGGGGATTATTTGGAGGGAGGTTGGTTTTGTTTTTAAATATAAAAAAAAAAAAAAGATAAGCCTTAGTTTACACATTGTCTGGGTATGGGTGGAAATTACAGACCTTAGTTACTTCTTACAAGTCGCAGGGGCCAAGACAGCGTGGGTTTGGACTGCTTGCCTGTCACATTAGGGTTACAGAGAGCAGTCTCAACACAAAGCCAAGATATGCTTGAGGTATGTAGTTTTATGGGGCTTTTACCATGTCACAAACCAACAAACTTAGCGTGCTCCTAGGGATTCCCAATACAAGCACTCATCTTCCAAAACTCATCCTCTGCCTACAGCCCCCTGAGGAATGAAGTCCTCAGGATATGGAAAAGAAAGGAAATTAATCTTAGAAGTGGAGAAACTGACTTGAAAACTGAGTGTGGCCCTCTATTTTCAGTCACACCAGGGACCAGGCAAAGGGCAATGCACCTTCACCTAAAAAATACCTCTCGTTGAGAAAATGAAGATTTTTATTATTCATAATGTAAAACATCAAACTGCCATAAAAATCTCACAGGTCATTTAAATACAAGCTTTAACTGTGAATTCATGAATTCTGCTTTCATACTCTCAGCAATGTGTTATCAGCCTCGTTTGAATAGCATCAGTTTTGTGGGGAAATGCATTCTTCCCAAGGATGCCCTCTGTATCCCCCTCCTGCTTCTAAAGGGTTTAATTGGAATCTGTCTCCTTACAGCTTCAATCTCTTGATGCCAGTTCTGTTCTCTGGAGTCTCACAGAATGAGCACACCGCCCTATTCCTCCATGAAAGCCCCGGTCTTTGCCAGCGCATGTCTCTCTCTCATTGTGCATGTGTGTATTTGTGTCTCCTTGCACCTTTCTCTCTTTGTGAGTATGCCAATTCCTTTTTTGAATGTCTTTTCCAGGTCTTTCCCTCACTCTCACTTCAACTGATTATAATACAACTAAGAACCTGGAAACCATCATTCTCAGCAAACTGACACAAGAGCAGAAAATCAAACACCGCATGTTCTCACTCATAGGCAGGTGTTGATCAATGAGAACACATGGACACAGGGAGGGGAGCACTACACACTGGGGTCCGTTGGGGGGAAATGGGGGAGGGACGGGGGTGGGGAGGTGGGAAGAGATAGCATGGGGAGAAATGACAGATACAGGCGAGGGGACGGAAGGCAGAAAACCACACTGCCATGTGTGTACTTATGCAACAATCTTGCATGTTCTTCACATGTACCTCAAAACCTAAAATGCAATAAAATAAAAAATAAAATAAAATAAAAATTAAAAAAAGATATACTTAATCACTTTTTGTATTTAATGAGCAGAATTTTGTTTACCCTTAATTTCCGAAGAATGGATACAACATTCACGTTTTGTGATATTTAATAAATAATTTTGTGCAACTCAGACATTCTTCACACAGAAAGGTTCCTCATTCTTACTCTTACTCAAGTGTCAAGTCAACCTATCTTAGATTTCCAATAATGGTGGGAAGGAGGATTTTTCCCATAAAACTGCAATCCAAAGAGAAGAAACTCAACTTGTTTTAGAGCTTCCTTAAAGGGAAATTTCAACATTTTATAAGAGAAGTTTGCCCCCTTTACTTTTTCCTCTTTAATCCAACCATAGAGAGTACTTACCCAGTGGAAGAGCTCGGGTCAGGTTAGTAGCTGGAGGATCTGTTTCCGGAGGACAGACCTCACAGAAGTCCCAACACGATGGGCAGAGCAGGTTTCCATCGTGAATCCAGCCATTCATCTGAATACTGACAGGGAGGACCTGCCCAGCCCGACTACACAGATAAGAAGTATCTTGGACCCAAACCTTCAGACCTTGAGGAGAACAAGAAACCTTCAAATAGAAAAAAATATGTATTTCTTAAATCAGGTCAATAAGATTCTAGGATATGAGATTTCCCCTTTAACTACAGGAAAATATGTTAAAATTGACTAAAAACATTGGCTACAAAGCACAATTTGGAGTGTGGGCATATCTTTAACATCAAAGAGGGTTACGTTATTTAGGTTCTAAAAGAATTACACTCTGGTGGCAGAAGTTGTTAAAGTTTGAGTGTAGCACCTTTTTAAGAATCTGATGGAAGCCATGGGCACTTTTCCCAAAAATTACAAGGGGGCACACACACAGAGCTTTTTTTTTTTTTTTTTTTTTTTTTTGAGACAGGGTCTTGCTGTTGCCCAGGCTGGAATACAGTGACAGTCTCAGCTCACTCAGCATTGACTACCCCAGGCTCAAGTGATCCTCCCACCTCAGCCTCCTAACTCAGTAGCTGGGACTACAGGCATGTGCCACTATGCCTGGCTGATTTTTGTATTTTCTTGTATAGATGGGGTTTGGGTTTTGTCACGCTGCCCAGGTTGGTCTCTAACTCCTGGCTCAAGTGATCTACCCACCTCAGCCTCCCAAAGTGCTAGGATTACAGGTATGAGTCACTGCACCCAGCCTACACAGAGCTTCCAATATAATTTGAATCCACAGACCACCCCCTAAGCTAAGTTGTAAAGAATAACATTTCTGTAAATTCCAGTGTCTTCAGATACTTCAACTTTAATCTCTATCAAACAGTCATTAATCACATCACTCTCTCTAAAAGTCACTAAATTTTCCAAATATTAAAAAAAAAAAAAGTTTTTTTAAGAGGTAAGGTCTTGCTCCATCACCCAAGCTGGAGTGTAGTGGAGCAATTCTAGCTCACTGCAGCCTTAACACTCCTAGGCTCAAATAATGTTCCTGCCTCAGCCTGCCAAGTAGCTGAGACTACCGGTGCATGCCACGATACCCAGCTGATTTTAAAAATATTTTGTAGAGACAGGGTCTCACTATGTTACCCAGGCTGGTCTCAAACTCCTGGGCTCAAGTGATTCCCCCAGCCTTGGTCTCCCAAAGTGTTGGGATTAAAGGTGTGAACCACTGTGCCAGGCCATAAGTCAAATTTTATTCGGGGTTTGAAATTATAAAAACAATACATGTTTATTGGGAAAAAAACAAACAAACAAACAAGAATACAGCATAGAAATGCAAAACAATGGAAGTTCTTCATTCTCTCCCTACCCCAAATCCTCTGCTCAGTCACAGTAATTTTATCCAGACTTTATTTTTAAAGGCAAGACTCTTATCTCATCTGCAAGTGGCAGCTAATGAAATCAGTTTCTAAAACCAAAAGCAAACACATTAATGCTAACTATTAAAACATTTAGAAATAGTATTTTTTTAAATTTAAATTTAATTTTTTTTTTTAGACCAAGTCTCACTCTGTTGCCCAGGCTGGAGTTCAGTGGCGTGATCTTGGCTCACTGCAACCTCTGCCTCCTGGGTTCAAGCAATTCCTGTGCCTCAGCCTCCTAAGTAGCTGGGACTACAGGTATGTGCCACCACAGCCAGCTAATTTTTCTAATTTTAGCAGAGACAGGGTTTCACCGTGTTTGCCAGGTTGGTCTTGAACTCCTCAGGTGATCCGCACGCCTAAGCCTCCCAAAGTGTTGGTATTACAGGCATGAGTCACTCCCCTCTGCCAAAAATTAAACCCTCAAAGTTGTTTCCTACAAAGATTTCACATTCAATTATGCTACTTCACTTTAAATATTTCTGAAACTTCTCTCTTGGAACTACCTTCAAAGTCAATGCATACTTCTGAACCTGTCCGATGGTAGCAAATTTTTACTCAGCAAGTAGACGTAAGTTTTGGAAACAGTCCAAAGTTGCCCAGAACCAAGTCTGGTAAAGGTAGTTGACTAAACTGGTTAATAGAAGGTGTGATGCAAAATCACTAAGACTGATTTCCTTAGGTGACTATTAAATACTTCTAAAGATAATTACAAAAGAAGAGTTCAAAAGTACATTTGAAGTCATTTTGAATTAACTCTATCATCAGTTAAGTTGAAATGGAGTCATTCTGAAACAACTCTACCATCAGTTGAAATATATTATTCGTTTGAAAATTTGTTTTAAGCTATCACAAAAACAAATAATGAAGTGTGACGTCTTCTATGAGTCTATCATTCAATGATCTACATCAGGTAAGCATCACCATGCCACAGTGCAACGTCATCATTCTTTAAAGTGAGACCTGACTGAGCACCGTGCTTGGTGCTGAAAAGGATACCAAAAAAGTACATGGTACAGTGCCTGCCCTCTAGCAGTTTCAATTGAGGAAAGATGAGTAGGATATAAATGTTATTTTCCAGCCAGGCATAGTGGCTCACGCCTATAATCCCAGCACTTGGGAGGCCCAGGAGGGTAGATCACTTGAGGTCAGGAGTTCAGGATCACCCTGGCCAACCTGAAATCCCATCTCTAAAAATACAAAAATTTGCCAGGCATGATGGTGGGCGCCTGTAGTCCCAGCTACTCAAGTGGCTGAGGCATGAGAATCACCTGAACCCAGGAGGCAGAAGTGGCAGTGAGCCAAGAAACTACCACTGCACTCCATCCTGGGTGCCAGAGACTCCATCTCAAAAAAAAAGATAATAAAAATAATATTTTTTTCTAAAATATTAACAGTATTTTGAAATTAGAAGAAAAAGGAAAAAATGAATAGTACCAGACTATTTATAATTAAGACTCAATAAATGGTAGAAACAAGAATAAATGTTAGAAAGTTTCAGCCGGGCGCGGTGGCTCAAGCCTGTAATCCCAGCACTTTGGGAGGCTGAGACGGGTGGATCACGAGGTCAAGAGATCGAGACCATCCTGGTCAACATAGTGAAACCCCGTCTCTACTAAAAATACAAAAAATTAGCTGGGTGTGATGGCACGTGCCTGTAATCCCAGCTACTCAGGAGGCTGAGGCAGGAGAATTGCCTGAGCCCAGGAGGCGGAGGTTGTGGTGAGCCAAGATCGCGTCATTGCACTCCAGCCTGGGTAACAAGAGTGAAACTCCGTCTCAAAAAAAAAAAAAAAAAAAGAAAGTTTCATGAAAGAGAGCATTTATATCCTGAGGACTAACAGGATTTGGATCACTGCAAGGTAGATGTTACAGGTTGGGAAGCAGAATGTACATAGCTTAGAGATGAGAATTACTGTAATTATTTCATTTATGTATTTATTTATTTTGAGACAAAGTCTTGCTCTGTCACCCAGGCTGGAATGCAATGTCGCCATATCAACTCACTGCAACCTCTGCCTCCTGGGCTCAAGCAGTTCTCCTGCCTCAGACTCCCGAGTAGCTGGGATTACAAGCATGCGCCACTACAACAGGTTAATTTTGTATTTTCAGTAGAGATGGGGTTTCACCATGTTGCCCAGGCTGGCCTTGAAAGTCCTGACCTCAGGTGATCCACCTGCCTTGGCCTCCCAAAGTGCTGGGATTACAGGCATAAGCCACCGCGTCCAGCCTAGACATGAGAATTATATGACAACATTGAAAGGACAAGAAAACTCTCTTGCTGAAGTGGAAGTATTATCACTGTGGGATTCTGGGAATTAAGTGTGGGCAGGAGGGCGGATGTACAAGTAGTAGCAGACATAACAGACTCAAGAAAGCTGAGTCAAACTCCAGCTGCAGGAAAAGCCAAGAAGAAACCTGCTTTGCACTGCGGAACGAACACAAAGGTGGCTCAGCACTGCCCACCCGGTACCGTGAAGTGAGAGCTACAATGAAAAGGATGAACGTCTATTTCAGAAACAGACCCCAGCATTCCTCTCCCTCATTACAAGCGGCTAAACCACTGATTCTTCCAAACCCAGCTGATACAGTCTGGAAATTTGTCCACTCCAAATCTTCTGTTGAAATGTGATTCCCAATGCTGGAGGTGTGGCCTACTGGGAGGTTTTTGGGTCATGGGGACAGATCTCTCATGAATAGCTTAGTGTCCTCCCCACAGTAATAACTGCCCCGGAGATCTGGTTGTGAAAGAGATGGGGACCTCCCTCCTCTCTCTCGTTTCCTCTCTATGTGACAAGCCTGCTCCCGCTCTGACTTCTGCCATGATTAGAAGCTTCCTCAGGCTGTCACCGGAAGCTGATGCCAGCACTACATGTTTCGCAGTCTGCAGAACTGTAAGCAAAATAAACTTCTTTTCTTTATAATTAACCAGCCTGATAGTCCTTTATAGCAACACAAAATACTGGAGATTTCTTTTCTGGAAAGGCGAAAACAGAGTTTTTCTGTTCTGGGGGAAAGCAAGTACAGGTGAGAGTGGGGATGCCATCATGAAAATAAGGACTCTAAGTTTACAGGTCAAACACTGAGACTACTCAGCATTCAAAATCTACTTCATTCCTAGAACTCTCACAACTACGCATATAAATTCAAGGCAGATATTGGCAGTTTCTCTGACAAGTCTGATCAGTCAAAAGGGAAACCCCTCAAGACACAAATATCAAAGGTTTTGTAAGGAAAGAGCCCTACAGTGAAGACCACAGTCAACAAGTCCTACGTGCATACTCGGAGCTTCAAATTGGCTTCCAGTAACTTCATTTTTTTTAGATGGAGTCTCACTCTGTCGCCCAAGATGGAGTGCAGTGGCATCACCTCAGCTCACTGCCACCTCCACCTTCTGGGTTCAAGTGATGTTCATGCCTCAGCCTCCTGTATAGCTGAGATTACAGGCACCTGCCACCACACCCAGCTAATTTTTGCATTTTTAGTGGATGAGGGGTTTCAACAAGTTGGCCAGCCTGCTCTCAAAATGCTAACAGAGGCAGGAGGATCCATTGAGGTCAGGAGTTTGAGACCAGCCTGAACAACATGGAGAAACCCTGTCTCTACTAACAATACAAAAATTAGCTGGGTATGGTGGTGCATGCCTGTGATCCCAGCTGCACAGGAGACTGAGGCACAAGAATCGCTGGAATCCAGGCGGTGGAGGTTGCAGCGAGCTGAGATCATGCCACTGCACTCCAGCATGGGTGACAGAGTGAGACCCTGTCTCAAAAGACAACAAAGAAAAAAAAAAAGCTGATTTTACATAAATTGGCATATGATATATATCTTGGTAGTACTATTACCAGGTCAGGCAAAGTGGGTCATGTCTGTACTCTGAACACTTTGGGAGGCTGAGGCAGGTGAATCACATGAGCCAAGGAGTTCAAAACCAGCCTGAGTAGTATGGAAAAACCCTGTCTCTCCAAAAAAATAAGAAAAATTAGCCAGTTGTGGTGGTGTGCGCCTGTAGTCCCAGCTACTTGGATGGCTTCGGTGGGATAATCACCTGAGCCTGGGAGTTCGTGGCTGCAGTGAGCCATGATCGTGCCATTGCCTCTAGCCTGGGTGACAGAGCAAAACCCTGTCTCCAAAAAAAGAGAGCAATTATCAAAAAAAGTTTAACTTTATAAGTAACTTTAATGACAAGAATTAAATTTCCAGTTACAAAAGTCCTTTTAGCTCTTGCAGCTGAAATGGTACCAGGAAAGCTTATTCTTCATTTCTCAGGTTTACACTCTCCTCCCTGACATCCATTTGTAGGGTACAGAATATTCATTAAGTTGGATGCTTCTAAGTCACAGAATGGCTCTATCTTTATAAGTTCTCATCAGGTGATGCAGTCATGTAATATCAGATGTGCAACTAAATGTCTATAATCCCAGCACCTTGGGAAGCCGAGGCAGGAGGATCACTTGGACCCAGAAGTTCTAAACTAGCCTGGACAACATACAGTACCTACCAAAAATCAAAAAATCAGTTGGGTGTGTGGTGCACACCTGCAGCCCCGCTACTCAGGAGGCTACGGGGGAAGGTCACTTGAGCCCAGGAGACAGAGAATACAGTGAGCCGTGCGTGACTGGACCAGCACTCCAACCTAGGTGACAGAGCAAGACTCTGTCTCAAAAAAAAAAAAAGAAAAAAAAATTGTAGTTTGCCCTTTTTGGATTTCTAATTACAAAGGAAAAAAACCAACCTATTATTAATCAGCAACTGATTTCTTAATCCTTTTTTCTTTATTTTTTTCATGGACAAGGTCTCGCTTTGTTGCCTAGGATGGTCTCAAACTAAGACTAAAGTGATCCTCCTGCCTCAGCCTCCCAAAGTGCTGAGATTACAGACGTGAGCCACCATGTCCAGCCTGATTTACAAATTCTTATAACCCATGCGGTCCTCAGACATTTTAAAATAAAATTGTACATTTTTTCCATTACAAAGTTGTATTTGCTCAAGAACAAAATTACTATTTACCATTATTTCCTCAGAATATATGCCTAGAACATTATAGCAATTACATATTTATATTTTTTAAATAGAGGCAATTTTTCTCAAAAAAAAGGACAATATTTTCATAAAACATGAGCATCCAAACTAATATTTACATAAACAAGAAAAATATTGATCAGCAAATTAATGACATAAAAATATGTAAAATAAAATTTAAAATATAAACCCATAAAAGATATAATTATATAATATTTGGTATAACTAATAACAGACATATAAGCTTACCTGATAACATCCACTGCCCCAGTCAGGGTAACTCAGCTTCCTCTCACACTTTTCCATAACAAATGCTGATTTCTGAATTAGACAAACTGAATGAGGTCCATACTTTTCAGCACCATAGTTCTTAAAAATTTCTGAGGCAAACAAGAAAAATCTCCCTAAAAATTGACTTTTAGCTCAAAGAACAAGAAATTGATTGATGCATTCCATTTTTATGATTAAAAGTTGCTTTAAAAATCAAACATGTTTCATAGAAATTTTAAATTTAAAAAATAAGGAAACACAGGATTCCAAACTCACACTAGGTTCTCAATAAAGGATGAATGGGAGAAAATTACTGTATCAGACACAAGGGAATAAAACTGGGTCTGGAATTTTCTAGGCTAAATATATAGAAGAACTAGCACTATGAATCATTAGATCACTAGATACCAACATAAGAATCATCTTCACTGGTGGTCTAAGTAAGAGGCCCCTCCAAATGACCCATGATAATCCTAGAGGCCAAGTGATTTCTACAATGGAGACTTTTTGGGGGTGTTGCAACTTTTGCAGAACCTTCTTATATCCTGAACTTGTGTCACCTCCTGGAAATCCATAAATACTAGGTTGGTGCAAAAGTACCTGTGGTTTTTATGTTAATGTCAAAACTGCAATTACCCTTGCACCAATCTAGTAACATGCTGATCTAATCTCACATGAAGCACAAACCTACAGAGGTACAGGGTGGAATTAAGGACCTCTAAATACCTAATGATCAAAGGGGCAAAGCTCTTCAACCCTAGCAATAATTTGATCTCTTTAGACTCTATACACTAAGTTTTCTTTTGGAAAGCAGAGAGTTCCATTAGCCCATTTTGAAACATCATAAAGATGTTTTATGTCAGTTTTAATAAATCTTAATAATATAAGCTAAGAAGAAAATGCAAATTAGAATAAAATAGAATTTATTAGTTTCAGAGTTTTTGAAAAATCTAATGATCATGTCTAAAATGGGGTTCAGGGCTGGATGTGGTGGCTCACGCCTAGAATTCCAACACTTTGGGAGGCCAAGGAGGGAGGACTGCTTGAGGCCAGGAGATTGAGGCCAGCCTGGGTAACATAGCAAGTCTCATCTATACAAAAAATTTTTTAAATCAACCAGGTGTGGAGGTGCATGCCTATAGTCCTGGCTCTGGGGAGTCTGAGGCAGGAAAATCACTTGAGCCCAAGAGTTACAGGTAATAGTGAATTAGGATGGGGTGCCACTACACTCCAACCTGGGTGACAGAGACCCTGTCTCTAAGAAATAATAATAGTAAAACAGAGTTCGGCAAACTACAACCCTCAGGCCAAATCCTGGCACACTCATTCATTTACATATTGTCTGTAACTGCTTTCAGACTGTAACAGCAGAGTTAGTTAAATCATAAAGCTACAGAAACTGTATGACCCACAAAGCCCAAAATACTTATAATCTTGTCCTTTACAAAAAAAACTTTGCCAACTCCAGCTCTAAAACAGTAACATGTGATAGTTTATCTCTGGCAAATCCATGACTGACAGATCTATGCATTTCTTTTTCTTTAACATGGAACTGCTGAGCAGTCATAAGTCACTATAATATTTATATATGTATGTATTTATTTGTATTTGAGATGGGGTCTCACTGTGTTGCCCAGGCTGGAGTAGAGTGGCATCATCTGGGCTTACTACAACCTCTGCCTTGTAGGCTGCTCAAGCAATCCTCAGGCCTTGTCCTCCTGCACAGCTGAAACCACAGGTGTGCACCATCACATCTGGCTAATTTTTTGCATTTTAGGTAGAGATGAGTTTCCCTATGTTGCTCGGCTGGCCTCAAACTCCTGAGCTCAAGCAATTCTACTGCCGCGGCCTCCCAAAATGCTGGGATTACAGGCGTGAGCCACTGCACCTGGCCAGGACATTTATTGAATAGATTAGTGACGGGGAAAAATGACTGCAGGAATCCAGTTACATCTCCCAAGTTTAAGAGTAAAACGTAAAAATACAAAAATTTAGAATTTAAATGCCTTAGTCTGCAATAAAGTATAGAATGAGGGTGGGGGTTTGGAGACTAGGTTAAAACTTCTGATGAACACAGACAGAAACACTACTTACTGCTCTTTATTACATCAGATGTGAGAATATTTCTGTTTATAAAGGTAATTGGTATGAGCCATAACTATTATTGCAGAAGACCCAATGGCCATACTGCTTATTCCTTTGATGTCCTGTTCATTTACATGTATTAAGAGAAAACAAATAATATGGTAATATATCTTACAGGCCATAAGACAAGAATATTATTTTGATATCTGAAGAGTGACCTGTTGCTTCTAACTTACATAAAATGCACATTCTCCATGAGAGGAAAAACAGCTTATCTAAGGTATTTTAATAAAAAGAGCCTGGCAATGGAGGATCTTGCACTGACCCCAATTAACTACATCACTTAATATCTGTTTGCTTATCTGTGAAATATAGTAATATCTTCCTTATGTTTCTCAGTGTACTGTTTTTAGAAGAATGAAATGATATGAAAGTGCTCTGCAAATGGAAAGTGCCATGCAGACACAAGGTATGACTAAAACACAGCGTGTGTGCATGTATACACTAATGATCCTTTCTATGGGTCAGGCACAGTTCTAAGCACTTACTACATTAATTCATTTAATTCTCACAGCTCTAAGTATTGTCTCCATTGTACAGATGAAGAAACAGGCAGACAAGAATTAGGTAACTTATTACATACGGATAGCAGCTGAACTAGAAAGCAAACTCAGTCCTGCTCTAGGATCTGTGCCCTTAGCCACTGTTTCATATTGCTAACATATAATTTTAATTTGTACCTCACACTTCATTTCACTAGCTGACTAACCTGGTTGATTTTCCAATATTCTACAGTCTGAGTTGCGCTGATATTCACCACTTAAATGCCAACTGAATTCCTGACTGAAAGGGCAATAGTCAGCAATTTCCACTGATCCACCATAATAAGGCAAATCTTCTGCAGGTATTCCAGTGAGTTCATCAAAGTACTACAAAAAAATATTGGGAAGACAAGAAAGTCAGACACATTCGGTGTAAACAAAAGGAGGTGCACAGGTAATTTCCTGCAACTCTCTAATGTTATAACACAAGACGTGAATGTACCTTTCTTCACAAATTGCACCAAATAAAGAAGACAGTAACATACCACGAGAGGAGTATTTTAAGGTTGCTCCAGTTTTACAAATAAGCAAGTTAAGTAAATTAGTCTAAGTTATGTATGACAATGGCAAATTAAACTACTGTTTCAAAAGAATGAAATAGTTTTAATTACACTGAGCAAAGTTTTGAATTGACAAAACATAGAGTTACAATGCATAAAGTTATGACATTCTTTTTGTTTTAGGTTATGATTTTTTTTTTTTTGAGACGGAGTTTCGCTCTTGTTACCCAGGCTGGAGTGCAATGGCGCGATCTCGGCTCACTGCAACCTCCGCCTCCTGGGTTCAGGCAATTCTCCTGCCTCAGCCTCCTGAGTAGCTGGGATTACAGGCACGTGCCACCACGCCCAGCTAATTTTTCGTATTTTTAGCAGAGACGGGGTTTCACCATGTTGACCAGGATGGTCTCGATCTCTTGACATCGTGATCCACCCGCCTTGGCCTCACAAAGTGTTGGGATTACAGGCTTGAGCCACCGCGCCCGGCCTTAGGTTATGATATTTTTAATATATTTTTCAAGTATTTTTAGGAGACAGTTCATATGTTGTTCTAACAAACTTAAAAAGTTAAAATCTGAGAAAATAAATGGGATCATATATATAAAATTCTTTGAACACCAAAGGAACAAGGCACCAGACAAATTTTATTGTTCCTTTCTTTTTAAAAATAATTTTATTGCTGGGCGCAGTGGATCACACCTGTAATCCCAGCACTTTGGGAGATGGAGGCGGCCAGATCACCTGAGTTCAGAAGTTCAAGACCAGCCTGGCCAACATATAGTGAAACCCCACCTGTATTTTTAAAAAAATAATACAAAAATTAGCTGGGCATGCTGGCACACACCTGTAGTTCCAACAACTTAAGAAACTGAGGCAGGAGAATCACTTGAACCTGGGAGGCGGAGGTTGCAGTGAGTCAAGATTGTGCCACTGCACTCTAGCCTGGGCAACAGGGCAAGACTCCATCTTCCCCCAACAACAAAAAAATACATTTAAAAAATTAAAATCATTGTATGTGTTTTCACACCCCTGGATACACCAAATAAATTTTTTAAGATGTCACATTTCCCAACAACTTTCTGAGTTACACAACTATGTCTATGAATACAGCTGCTATTTTATGGTGTATAAAGCATCCAGTGAGCTCATAAATATGTGTAGGAAGCTAAAAATTCAGCAGCTGTGCTTCTGAGACATCATTTCTGACAAAAGACTCCTTGTAAATGGCAGGTAAAGCTGAGGTTTTTAAAGATAAAGGTCATGGTGGGCACAGTGGCTCAGGTGCGTAATCCCAACACTTTGGGAGGCCAAGGTGGGTAGACCACTTGAGGTCAGGAGTTCGAGATCAGCCTGGCCAACATGGCAAAACCCTGTCTCTACTAGAAATACAAAAATTAGCCAGACACGTTGGCTCACACCTGTAATCCCAGCACTTTAGGAGGCTGAGGCATGTGGATCACTTGAGGCCAGGAGTTCTAGACCAGCCTGGGCAACATGGTGAAACCCTGTTTCTACTAAAAATTCAAAAATTACCCAGGCATGTTGGCTCACACCTGTAATCCCGGTGACTCGGGAGGCTGAAGCACCAGAAGATAAAAGATAAAAAGAAATGTAAAGGTCAAATCAGATCAGACTATATATGTGGAACCATTTTCTTAATCTTTCAGATCCCAAGAATCAAATCTTTTCAAAAGCAGAGCTTCCAAGTCTTCTAATTAATTGAATTACAGTACTTAAATTATTTTCTTTGAAGATTTTTGTTTCTGTATAAATTAGACGAATTTAAGTAGCAAGACTTTGGAAACAATTTGAAAACATAAACAGGTAAAAACAGATCAAATATGCAAATTCTTCTTGCCATTATTGTAAAACATTGCTAAATTTTAACTAACTGCTATCAATTAGGAAATTAGTTATAAAGAAATGGAAGCATTATTCCATTATTTCTAACTTACAGAAAACAAAAAGAGCCTTACAAATTGAGAAACTTAAGAGAATCTACTCTTTTAATTAAAACGGATACTACTTTTTAAAAAGCTGATTCCTAAAATTATGCCCCAAACCAGTTTTACCTGGTATTCCTGTGGTAAAGGTTTAGGAAACTTCTGCAGATTGCACACTGCAACTGCTCTCTGGTCCTGTCTGCAAGTTAACTGCAGTGGATTACTTCTGAGCGTGTCACAGTAAGGGCTCAGCATCTGCCTCCTGCAAACAAAGAGAGGCACCATGGTATCAAACTCTAACGAAAATACTGTAAGTCCACTGTAGAGCCAGAAAATGGAATTCTAGATTCTGGCCTAAATACAAACCTTCATAATTAACAAATGGGATTCTCGGAAAGAGACGGACATAATGCTCTATGCCCTGCTGCTACAAAGAGGGGAATTTTTTCCATTCAATAATCTAGTTAAGGGAATCATATTTGACAATTTCTTTAATTGACCACCTTTGCAAGACAACCTTATTTTCACGTGCAAAATAAAGATTGTGTGAATATTCCTAATTGTTACCAACTTATTCTGTTACCTTAAATGTAACCTTGAAGGTATAAATGGAAAAAAGGGCCTTGTAAATTAACAAAACATATCAGAATCTATTGCACTGTCTTGCAAAAATAACCTTCAAACAAACCTGTAATTCTTAGCAGTCAGCAAATGGACCATTTTCAATACAAAAATTTATTACAGCAACACTAGGGAGGAATAATTTTCAATATAAAAATTATATTAATATAATAGTAATTTTATAAATAAAATCTCAATGTTCCTAAGTAATTGAAATCCCATTAATATTGGTCTACCAACTTATAATAGGATCACTGACAATTTTCCTATTCTTCCACATATTTAAGGAAAAAAAGCCTGTATTAAATATTTCTAATTTTTTTTTTTTATTAAGCATAAATTTTATTTCCAAGCCCTTCAAAGACTGTTACAAACACAAATAATGTATCCTTCTAAAAAAAAAAAAGTGTCCCAAATTAAAGGCACATCATCGAAGTATAACACTTGTGACATTAAGAATTCTTTTAGGTTGTAATATTTTCATGTTAGTTTTTAACCATTTACCATGTTCTGTGGGTCACACTTTAAACATTTTTAAATATATGAAATCCTGTATTTCTTTAAGTACAGCCACAACTACAAAGCAGAGAAACTTGAGAATACAAATATAAAATCTGCTTCATTTATATACACAATGGGGCAGCCTAATGCACATCACATTAACTTTTCCAAACAAGTCTGCTAAGAAACTGCTGCCATATTTAGTGTTAAAAATAAAACAATCTTCCCATTTAGAAAAATGGAGACATCAGTCGATTAGTAAAACCTATTCTTCCCCCTGCAGCAATTTACACTTTGTCTTCATTTAGGAACTGTAAATTCATGAGAAGAGAACAATTTTTTATGGCATAAAAATCTACCAGGAACAAATTACAAGTTTTTAAATAAATTAAAAAATTACAATTTTTTAAATAAACAAAAATATTTTCCATCTTAAAATGTAAACCTCCAGTAAATAAAACATACATGATATTCCAGGTATAGAAACATTAGCAACTCACTTATGAAAGAGGTGTGTTTTGGTATATTTGGTGGTAAGGTTTTGGTCTTATGTATAAAAGTATTTCCAGAGAAAACCAGGCTATCACTATTTAAAACTCTATTCTTTCACCCAGTTTCCTTACTTAAGTAGAAACTCACGAATTTCTGTGATTTCGGCTATAGGACCAGGTCCCAGGAAAGGGCTGAAATATCTCTTAAAGTCACTTGGCTAGGGAAAAGTGTTATCTTGAGACTTGAGGGCAGTCATTCATCACTTTGTGCTTGAAGGCACTCCTCAGCGAACTTCTCTCCTAGAGTCTTCAGAGTAAAGCGCAGGATCTGGGCTCACGGAAGGGGTTACTTCCAGCTGGAACACCCACCAGCAGGGCATCCTTGCAGGTGTTCTGCGTACAGTACTGCTGAAGCTCTGCAGCTGCCGGAGAGACCTTGATCCTCTCCACTGCGGCCTCCGGCTTAAGCTGCTCCCCAAGGCGCTGCAGGGCGTTCGCACTGGCACCGGAGGACGTGGCGGTTGCGCTGAGCTCCCAGGGCGGCTAGGCCCGGCCGGGAGACGCTAAATATTTCTAATTTTAAGGAAAACTGATGACTTGTCTTATTTAAATGAACATGGTGTATGAGTAATACATCTTCAGGGAGTTACAGCTTCCTCAGACAAGATGTGTGAAATAATTACTGCAGTCTTCAGCAAATTGGAAGCAGCACAGTGTAACAGGAAAACAAAGGTTCTGAAGTCATCACACAGGTTTGGGTTCACATACCAGTACCAGCCACATTTATTTGGAATTTACTTAACTTTCCTGAGCTTCAACTATAAGGCACTCAGCGCCTAGCACATATAACTTACTCAATAAATGTAATTTCTGCTGTTTATACCATTTTAATAAAATCTTCATATAAGGCAATATTTGAACTTCCCATGATAAAGCTTCCAATGAATATGGAAGTTCACATTCCAATAGTTCTCAATCAGTCACTTTCTGGATACCATGAAACTCATTTTTGTTATTTCCTAAAACCAAAACATATATTATATTTATTTATTATATAAAATGAGTTTTGGTTAAATGAATAAAAGGAAAACAGAAGTTAAAAGTTAGTGATTTTAAATTAAATACTCCAAAATTAGAGCTGTCTAAGATTCATGGCTTAAAAATTCCAGAGAAGCCAGTGCTGTCTGCATTGATGAAAAAGGTCTATATCTGTGCTATCCAATATAGTAGCCACTGATCATATATGTCACTTGAAAGGTGACTAGTTAACTCAGGAACTAAAATTTAAATGGTATTTAACTAATTTAAATATAAGTTTAGCCACTTGTGGCTAATGGTATCATGTAGACAGTATAGCTAATAGAGCCAATTAACATCAAATGAGCTAGGCAGAGTAGTTGGGTGATTTATCAATTTTAGTTGCTTCATACATAGAAAGAACCTTACTTTAAGAATGTATAGATTCAAGTGATTCAAATAAGTATGGCTCTCTGCCTATGCTCACTCAACCCACCCCTTCTCACACTGGTTTCCTAACAATAGGTAAGTGTCACACTTGATGAAGCCTAGAAGGTAAGCATCAGCCCCTGTGCAAGAATATATATATTAGAGATTCCAGTATAACCTAAATACACATATAGGCAGACTGGGTCTGTGGTGTCAGAAGATGGCTTCAATCCTGTAAATGATTCTGAACTTCAATGCTTCACTTATAACTTCACATATAACTTCAATTCTTACATATGCTAGGCACTGACTACTTTGTAGTTAAAGGGAAACATCTGAATGATTATGACAGGGGTCAGGAAACTCAACTCTTGGTTCAAATCCTGACCATGACCTGTTTTTTTGTTGTCAATTTTTTGTTTTTGAGACAGGGTCTCATTGCTCAGGCTAGAACGCACTGGCACAATCATAGCTCACTGCAGCCCTGACCTCCTGAGCTCAAGCAATCCTCCCACCTTAGCCTCACAAGCAGGTGGGACTCCACATATGTGCCACCATGCTAATTGACCTTTTGTAGAGATGGGAAAGATTATAGGGACATGGCTATGCCCATTTGTTTTGCCTCTTGCTGTATAAAAGCAAAAGGTAAGTAGTTGGGACAGCGATTACAACAACCCTCAAAACCTAAAATATTTACTATCTGGAACTTAAAAAAAAAAAAAAAAAACTTCACTGACACTGGTTTATGAATGAAAGGATAGAAGAAAATTCAGGGGACGCACAGTTTTAGTTTTCAAGAACAAAGAAGTACAAGTCCCCTTCTGTTTTTGGTCTTAGGTGATCCTATATTTGGGACCAAAGGGGGAATAAACTGAGTTGCAATTGTTAACAGAAAAATAAACAAACAAAAACCTCCCTAAGCTCTTGCAGCTGCAGTGTTAGTTACACATACTTCCATTGACACACTGGTTCCCAAATTCCATTACACAGTGAAATCACCTGGGAATTTATTAAAACAAACAAACAAAAAAATCACACAATGCTAGTGACTGGCTCTTACCACAGTCATGATATAGTCACTTGGGTATGAAGAGTTCTTAAAGTTCTCTAGATGATTTTCATAAGCAGCAAAATTTGAGAACCACTAACTGGCTGATGAAGTTGCAGTGCTGGGGTTAACAAGCTGTCCCGAGTGGCTTCATGTGCTTCCCACTACTGCCTTTTTTTTTTTTTAAATAGGAGTTTCACTCTTGTTACCCAGGCTGGAGTGCAATGGCGCGATCTCAGCTCACCACAACCTCCGCTTCCCTGGTTCAAGCAATTCTCCCACCTCAGCCTCCCAAGTGGCTGGGATCACAGGCATGCGCCACCATACCTGGCTAATTTTAGTATTTTTAGTAGAGATGGGGTTTCACCATGTTGGTCAGGCTGGTCTCGAACTTCTGACCTCATGATCTAACCACCTCAGCCTCCCAAAGTGCTGGAATTATAGGTGTGAGCTTTTTTTTTTAAACAGAGTCTCACTCTGTCGTCAGGCTGGAGTGTTGTGGCGCCATCTCAGCTCACTGCAACCTCCACTTCCCAGGTTCAAGCGATTCTCCTGCCTCAGCCTCCCAAGTAGCTGGGATTACAGGCGCAAGCCACCACGCCGAGCTAAGGTTTTTGTATTTTTAGTAGAGAAGGTATTTCACCATGTTGGCCAGGATGGTCTCCATCTCCTGACCTCATGATCGGCCTGCCTCAGCCTCCCAAAGTGCTGGGATTACAGGCATGAGCCACTAAGCCTGGCCCTGCCTACTGTTTTCAAATTAGGGTCATAACTCACAGGTTAGACTCCTTAGTAGAAACTACAAGTGATTTAAATTGCTTTATGACCTAACCCAGGTAAGAAAAGATGAGAATAATACTTTTTTTTTTTTTTTTTTAGACAGGATCTTTTTTTTTTTTTTTTTTGACACGGAGTTTCGCCCTTGTTACCCAGGCTGGAGTGCAATGGCGTGATCTCGGCTCACCGCAACCTCCGCCTCCTGGGCTCAGGCAATTCTCCTGCCTCAGCCTCCTGAGTAGCTGGGATTACAGGCACGTGCCACCATGCCCAGCTAATTTTTTGCGCTTTTAGTAGAGACGGGGTTTCACCATGTTGACCAGGATGGTCTCGATCTCTCGACCTCGTGATCCACCCGCCTCGGCCTCCCAAAGTGGACAGGATCTTGCTCTGTCATCCACACTGGAGTGCAGTGGCATGATCACAGCTCAACGCAGCTGTGACCTTCTGGGCTCAAGGGATCCTCTCACCACAGTCCCCAAGTAGCTGGAACTGCAGGGCATGCCACCATGCCAGGCTAATTTTTTTTTACTTTGTAGAGATGAGGTCATATGTTGCCCAGGCTGGTCTCAAACTCCTGGGCTCAAGTGAATTTTCCACTTCCCAAAGTGCTGCAATTACAGGTGTGAGCCACTACACCTGGCCTATCTGAGGAAATTTTTCTTAAATCTAAAAATAAAAATTTAAGGCCGGGCACAGTGGCTCACGCCTATAATCCCAGTACTTTGGGAGGCCGAGGCGGGTGGATCACGAGGTCAAGAGATTAAGACCATCCTGGTCAACAAGGTGAAACCCCGTCTCTACTACAAATACAAAAAAAAAAAAATTAGCTGGGCATGGTGGGGCGCACCTGTAGTCCCAGCTAGTCGGGAGGCTGAGGTAGGAGAACTGCTTGAACCCAGGAGGTGGAGGTTGTGGTGAGCCAAGATCACGCCATTGCACTCCAGCCTGGGTAACAAGAGCAAAACTCTATCTCAAAAAAAAAAAATTAATTAATTAATTAATTAATTAAAAATTTAAGTACCACTTCTAATTCCTGGAAGATGGAGTATATATGCTTTTTCCTATTTCTCTAAATACAACTAAAAACCTGGGCATTGTAAATTAAAGAAATATAAGAAGACTCTGAAGGGTAGAGAGAAGTCAGACTACTTAGGGACTTCAGGACTCAAAAACTGATATGGTGGTACATTGTCTCCACAACTGATAGACCAACTAGGCAGGAAATCAGCAACGACACAGAAGGACTTAACACCATCAACCAACAGAATGGAACTGACAGTTATACAACACTCTACCCAATATCATACTGTACATTTTTTTCAAGTGCCAATGAAACATACATCAAGATTGCCTGGGCGCGGTGGCTCACATCTGTAATCCCAACACTGGAAGACCAAGGCAGGCAGATCACCTGAGGTCAGGAGTTCGAGACCAGTGTGATCAACATGATGAAACCCGATCTCAACTAAAAACACAAAAAATTGGCCGGGCATGGTGGTGGGCACCTGTAGTCCTAGCTACTTGGGAGGCTGAGGCAGGAGAAGTGCTTGACGTCAGCAGGCAGAGGCTACAGTGAGCCAAGATCATACCACTGTACTCCAGCCAAGGTGGCAAAATGACATTCCGTCTCAAAAAAAATTTAAAAAAAGGAACATCTATCAAGATAGACTATATCTTGGACCATAAAACAAACCTGAACAAATTTAAAAGAACTCAAATCATATAGCATATATTCTCCAGCTACAATTCAACAAAAAAAAAAAAACAGAAAAATGTCCAAATACTTGTATATTAAACAACATACTTCTAAATAATCCATGGGTTAGAGTAGAATTTCAAAGAAACATTTTTTAAGCATACATTGCCAGCCGGGCACAGTGGCTCACGCCTGTAATCCCGGCACTTTGGGAGGCTGAGACGGGTAGATCACGAGGTCAAGAGATCGAGACCATCCTGGTCAACATGGTGAAACCCCATCTCTACTAAAAATACAAAAAATTAGCTGGGCATGGTGGAGCATGCCTGTAATCCCAGCTACTCAGGAGGTTGAGGCAGGAGAATTGCCTGAACCCAAGAGGCGGAGGTTGTGGTGAGCCGAGATCACGCCACCGCACTCCAGCCTGGGTAACAGGAGCAAAATTCCATCTCAAAAAAAAAAAAAAAATACATTGCCAGCCTGGCCAGCATGGTGAAACCCCATCTCTACTAAAAATACAAAAAAAAAAAAAAAATTAGCCTGGTGTGGTGATGCATACCTGTAGTCCTAGCTACCTGGGAGGCTGAGGCAGGAGAAGTGCTTGAACCCAGGAGGTGGAGGCTGTAGTGAGCTGAGATCATGCCACTGCACTCCAGGAAAAAAAATAAAACTGAATGAAAATAAAAATATAACATTGAAATTTGTGAGACAAAGCTAAAGAAATGCTGAGAGGAAAATTTATATCACCAAATAGCTACATGAGAAACAGGAAATATCTCAAATCAATAATTTCAAAAATCAAGATGAGGAAGAGAAAAACAGGCCAGGCACAGTGGCTCACATCTGTAATCCCAGCACTTTGGGAGGCCAAGGCGTGCAGATCACTTGAGGTCAGGAATTCAAGACCAGCATGGCCAACATAGTGGAACCCCTACAAAAAAATACAAAAATTAGCTGGGCATGGTGTCGTGAACCTGCAATCCCAGGTACTTGGGAGGCTGAGGCAGGAGAATTGTTTGAACCCAGGAGGCGGAGGCTGCAGTGAGCCAAGATTGTGCCACCGCACTCCAGCCTGGGCAAGAGTGAGACTCCATCTCCAAAAATAATAATAATAATAATTAAAATAAGTAAATAAATAAACCAAAACACAAGCACTAGGAAGGATATAACAGAAAGCAGAAATCAATTAATTCGAAAACAGAAAAACAATAAAAGACATCAATTATACAAAAAGCTGGTCTTTCAGATCAGTAAAATTGGCAAACCTCTAGAAAAAGACAAAGAACAGATGCAAAGTTACCAATGTAAGGACTGAAAAGTGGTATCACAACAGACACCATAGGATAAGATGTCCCATCCTCCATGATGTGATCATTTCACATTGTAGGTCTATATCAAAACATCTCATTTGCCGGGCACGGTGGCTCAAGCCTGTAATCCCAGCACTTTGGGAGGCCGAGGCGGGTGGATCACAAGGTCAAGAGATCGAGACCATCCTGGTCAACATGGTGAAACCCCGTCTCTACTAAAAATACAAAAAATTAGCTGGGCATGGTGGTGTGTGCCTGTAATCCCAGCTACTCAGGAGGCTGAGGCAGGAGAACTGCCTGAACCCAGGAGGTGGAGGTTGCGATGAGCCGAGATCGTGCCATTGAACTCCAGCCTGGGTAACAAGAGCGAAACTCCTCCTCAAAAAAAAAAAAAAAAAAAAAAAAAAATCTCATTTATCACATAAATATGTACATCCAGTATGTAACCACAAAAATTTTTAAAAACCCTACAGATGTCAAAAGAATAAGGAAATACTACAAAAAAACCTATACATATAAATCTGATAACTTAAGACAAAATGGACCAATTCCTTAAAAAACATGTTACTACAATTCATGCACTATGAAATAGATAATATGAATAGCCCTGTAACTATTAAAGAAGTTTAATTCATAATAATTCACAATTTTAACGCTTCCCAAAGAGAAATCTCCAGGCCTAGATGTTTCACTGGAGACTTCTACCAAACATTTAGAGAAGAATTAACAGCAATTTTATACAATCTCTTCTAGAAAATGGAAGAGAAGGAAACATTTTCTAGTTAATTTTATAAAGCTGGTATTACTGATACAAAAACTAGAGAAAGATGGTACAAAAAAGAAAACTTTTTTTCTTTTCAAAGAAAACGATCAGAGATAAAGAGGGGAATCACAAAATGATAAAGGAATCCATACTCTATGAAAATATAACAATCCAGCCGGGCGCGGTGGCTCAAGCCTGTAATCCCAGCACTTTGGGAGGCCGAGGCGGGTGGATCACAAGGTCAAGAGATCAAGACCATCCTGGTCAACATGGTGAAACTTCGTCTCTACTAAAAATACAAAAAAATTAGCTGGGCATGGTGGCACGTGCCTGTAATCCCAGCTATTCAGGAGGCTGAGGCAGGAGAATTGCTTGAACCCAGGAGGCGGAGGTTGCGGTGAGCCGAGATCGTGCCATTGCACTCCAGCCTGGGTAACAAGAGTGAAACTCTGTCTCAAAAAAAAAACAAAAG